GAGCACCTGCTTGTCCTATTTTGATGGATTCTTTTCAGTTTGTGAAGCCCGAGGATGTGGACAAGATACTTGGAGGAATGAGGCCTACCACGTCCATCCTAGACCCCTGCCCATCCTGGCTTCTAAAGGAGGCCAGAGGGGGATTGGCTGAGTGGGTAACGGTGGTGGTTAATGCCACCCTTCGGGAAGGCAAGATTCCAGCGAGCTTAAAACAAGCTATTATAAAACCGCTGTTGAAGAAACCATCATTGGACCCCACTAAATTTGACAACTTTCGGCCTGTTTCCAATCTCCCATTTTTGGGCAAAGTCATGGAAAGCGTGGTGGCCTCACAACTCCAGGTATTCTTGAGAGACACGGATTATCTGGATTCGGCACAGTCTGGTTTCAGACCGGGACATGGAACCGAGACGGTCTTGGTTGCCTTAGTGGATGATCTGCGCCGGGAGCTAGACAGGGGGAGTGTGTCCCTGTTGGTGCTCCTGGACCTCTCAGCGGCCTTCGATACCGTCGACCACGGTATCCTTCTGGGGCGCCTTGCGGAAATGGGTCTTGGGGGCACTGCTCTGCAGTGGCTCCAGTCATTTCTGGAGGGTCGCACCCAGAAGGTGTTATTGGGGGACTCCTGTTCAACACCACAGCCTTTGACTTGTGGGGTTCCACAGGGCTCTATACTGTCCCCCATGCTGTTTAATATCTACATGAAGCCGCTGGGTGAGATCATCCGGAGTTTCGGGGTGCGGTGTCATCTGTACGCAGATGATGTCCAACTCTGTCACTCCTTTCCACCTGCTACTAAGGAGGCTGTCCAGGTCCTGAACCGGTGCTTGGCCGCTGTGACGGTCTGGATGAGGGTGAAACAAATTGAAATTGAATCCAGACAAGACAGAGGTACTCCTGGTCAGTCGCAAGGCCGAACAGGGTATAGGGTTACAGCCTGTGCTGGATGGGGTCGCACTCCCCTTGAAGGCGCAGGTTCGCAGCTTGGGTGTGATCCTGGATTCATCGTTGAGCCTGGATCCCCAGGTTTCAGCGGTGACCAGGGGAGCATTTGCACAGCTCAGGCTCGTGCGTCAGCTGCGCCCGTACCTTGGGAAGTCTGACTTGGCCACGGTGGTACACGCTCTGGTCACATCCCGCCTTGACTACTGCAACGCTCTCTACGTGGGGCTGCCCTTGAAGACGGCCCGGAAGCTTCAGCTAGTCCAGCGTGCGGCAGCCATGTTACTAACAGGAGCGGGACGCAGGGAGCACACAACGCCCTTGTTGTTCCAGCTCCACTGGCTGCCGATCTGCTACCGGGCCCAATTTAAGGTGCTGGTGTTGTCCTACAAAGCCCTAAACGGTTCCGGCCCAAAATACCTTTCTGACCGCATCTCGGCCTATGAGCCCACGAGGGCCTTGAGATCGTCTGGGGAGGCCCTTCTCTCGATCCCGCCTGCCTCACAGGCACGTCTGGCGGGGACGAGAGAGAGGGCCTTCTCGGTGGTGGCCCCCCAGCTGTGGAACACCCTCTCTGTAGACATCAGACAGGCGCCCTCCCTTATGTCATTCCTTAAGAGCCTAAAGACATGGTTATTCGAGAAGGCATTTAACTAAGTGCTATAATAACAGACAATGACGACTGGAACGGAATATGGATTATGAGATTGGTTATGATTCTACGATGAGACGGAGCGGATTATTTTAGTGTAATTATATTGTTAGTGTATTATTGATAGTTAGGATGATATTTCGTTGTGTTAGTGCTTTATTGTAAATTTGTCTTTTATATGTTGTACACCGCCGTGAGTCGCCCTAGGGCTGAGAACGGCGGTCAACAAATGCAGCAAATAAATAAATAAATAAATAAATAAACTCCCAGAATCCACCAACTTGTATGACCAGAGGTGATTCTGCCTCATGTATTCTGAGAATGATAACTCCAAAAATGATGTTTCCAAACCCTTGTGTTAATATTTATTCATGATTGATGTAAATGTGTTTTCTTCAAGAAAAAAATTCATGAAAGTGTCCACAAAACTTTTACATTTTCCTGGTGTCCTTGGTTTTTAACTTACATGTGGAATCCAAATCTGAATATGTCTGTGAGCACCTTCAGGATGAAGTGGACTCATTTCATCAGTGTGCCTTAGGCAATGAATCCTCAAAGCGAGTTTTTGCCAGTTCCTCCTCTGGAATATGGCCTACGGCATCTGACATTCATTGGTGGTCTCCCTACCAACTAGTAGCCAAGGCTGACCCTACTTAGCTTCCAAAATTGGTCAGGATGTAGTCCCTTTAGGGCATTTAGAATAGTATGGTCTATGATTGGGACTCCCTCTAGTGACAAATCCCTGGGACTTTATAGCCAGCCAATAAAAGCTGCACATATCTTTTTTTTGACATATTAAACTTGGGTTTGTTACAGAGAGCTATCCATTGAACCTGTTTTATGTTCAGTTATCAGCACGCACAAAAGCTCTGTATCTTGTATTGCATACATATAAACACCATTGTATTCTGGGATTTATAACTGGATGGATAAATAAATATAGTAACACAGGAGATGTATTTTTAGACAGGGCAGATCCCGCTTCGGTTGTGAACATAATGCATCATATTAAAAAGTTTTTATAATGTAAAATGCCAATGTGTTCTAGAAATGTCGCTCTATTATGTACTAATTGTGGCATCAAGGACTTCCCTTATGCCTGACTTTTCCCTCTGTGTTTTCTCATATTGATAACGATCAGCTCTATTTTCCCCACCTCACTAAGCAATCTCTTCTCCAACCACATTTTCACAGAACTAATCTCTCTCTCTCTCTCTTTACAAAAGTCTTTTTAGTATATAAAATGTTGGTGTGGAATTGCACCAAAAAACATTTATCACTGCTCATTGCAACTGCAAAAGAAGAAAAAAAGTCCATGTATAAACCTTATCAGGTTAACCTAGCAGTAGATTTTTGAATTCTTTGTTCTTGTATGCAAGAATGAAATCAATAAAGCTTTATATCCCCAGTAACGGTGCTCCATGCAGTCATGCCAGCCACATGACCTTGGAGGTGTCTACAAACAACACCGGTTCTTTGGCTTAGAAATGGAGATGAGCATCAACCCCCAGAGTCGGACACAACTGGACTTAATGTCCGGGGAAAACCTTTACCTTATCCACAGTCTAGAATCATATCAGGTAGACATGAATGCATCAATCTAAATTCCAGATCAATCAGTAATACGCCTGCATCTGAACAGTTGAGGTTGCGTGATGGTCTACCCGGAGTGAAGGTTTTAAAGGAAGTAACTTCTGCTTTGTTGTGAGTACTTCTGATAATATTATGTTTTGAAAGCCACATAATGCATTGTTGGCATGAAATTTGAGCAAATTGCTACTTGACATTGTTTTAACATCTTTCTAATATTAGAGTCACGGAAGCTGGCAAGAGAGAATATGATGCTCTATGGTTTCATGCTACTTAATAGATCGTTTAACAATTTAAAGGAAAATCTATACATATTCAGCTTTCCCTGTTCTGTAGCTAAAAATACAAGAGCAACCACTCACACTGCAATGCTATGCATTTCTGTTCAGAAGTAATTCCTAATTAGTTCAGTGGGACTTACTCTCTAGAAAGTATGAGCCCTCTTTAGCTTGGTTAATAGGTCAGAGATATCTTCATTTCAAGTGACTGAAACTGTGGACAGTTTAAATCAGCTGGATTGGGCAGACACCATGTCATCACCTTGAGGACAACAGCTGTGTTTTCATACTAGAGATTAAGCACAAATGCAAAAGGGGGGATGTCTGGCTTTCCAAATATAGGGATCACGGTGGTGCAACAGGTTAAACTATTGAGCTGTTGAACTTGCTGACCTGAAAGATGGCAGTTCGAATCCGCAGGATGGGGTGAGCTCCTGCTGTTAGCTCCAGCTCCTACCAACCTAGCAGCTTGAAAACATGCAGATGTGAGTAGATCAATAGGTACTGCCTCAGCAGGAAGGCAAACAGGCGTTCTATGCACGCATGCTGGCCACAAGACCAGGAGGTGTCTACGGACAATGCAGGCTCCTCGGGCTTGGAAATGGAGATGAGCACTTCCCCCAGAGCCGGAGATGAGCACTGCCTCCAGAACTGAATGCTGCCTGTTTTTATATATATGCTGTAATCTATTCTGAGTCCCCTCAAGGAGATAGGGCATAATATAAATAAAGTGTGTGTGTGTATATAGTCAAAGACTTTCATGGCTGGAATCACTGGGTTGCTGTGAGTTTTCCAGGCTGTATGGCCATGTTCTATGAGAAAGAATGCTTCTGGAACATGGTCATACAGCTCAGAAAACTCACATCAGTCATATTGTTGGACTACTAATGATGAAAGGATGAGTGACATAGAGATCAACAACATTTAGAGGGGCACACATTCGCCTTCCTTTTTTTTTAATCATCAATTTTCTTTCTGGTTAATATGCTAATAAATGAACAATTATGGAGTGACAGGAACTTTGCAATAATCCCATGAATACTATTCATATTCAGTTGGTCGGATTCTTTAACATAATGGGATCACTGAGAAAAGTGTTCAGAGTTTTGTTTTGTTTTTTGTAACTAACATTTGATAAAGGCATCAACATTATTTGCCAAGAAATAATTTGCTCTTTGATTCATTTTGATTAAGTTCAGTATTTGCTAATCAGACTAAAAGTGCCATAGTAATATTTTAAAATGTTAACGAATGTGTATGCCTCATATTGAATCTGAAACAGAGTTGCCTAGCCATTTAAGCTGCTGCTAATTCATTGAACCGCAGGCATATAATACATTTTAAACCCCTTTGTGCTCATATATTTGGATGTGTTATTACTGTTATCCTGTTTTAAATACAAATGGCCATGGTCATGTGTTACAGGAACATTTTTAAAACTGCAATTATATCATCAACTTTTATAGAAAAAAAATATTTCTCTGTTCAAATGGATTGGCCTCAGTATGAGAATAATTTCCTTTATTTATGTCACTCAGGTTGCACTAAGCTGGTCTTGGCTGAGATGCCAGATAAAACGCCAGAGGGGAAAGAAACCTTGTCCAGGAATGAAGGTCAGTATTCTCTTTCATCTTGAGCAATCTTAATTTTTCTTTTTCTCAGAATAGATATTGAAAGAAAGATAATTGTACCACTCGTTTATTGCAAATTTGGCTTATGAAATATATTATTCTCATCCACATGCTTTTGGATGTGATTATTTAGAACACTTAGATGAGATGATTTGATCCAAATTTAGTACAGTAGGAACATTTTCAGTTCTCTGTATGATGTACAACAAGGAAGGGGAAAAGAGGAAACGTCTGTAGTTTGTACTCTGAATCACATTCAGGTGTGATGTATGTGTATTTCCGCAGCATGGAGAGAATCTCTTCTTCTCCATTTCCATTCCTCTCCTATGCATTGGCAGATATGAAGTGGAGAGGCTCTGTTATTCATGGAGGCTTTCCACATGGGATGGAGTCCAGATTCTAGGAGTCCAACTCTATGGAAAGTGCCCAGATACCAAAAAGCATTCGACTTCTGACCCTACATGCATACAGAAAATGACAGTGGAAACTTTCTGGCAGAATTAGAACATTAATCTTTCTCACATGCAGAATAAAATACTTTTAGCTTGCCTGAACAGAATGCAAAATGAGATATGCTGGAATATTTATATGCTTTGACACAATTTTTAAAATGAAATAACAATCTTATGCATCTTTTATAGCATACAGAACTAATCTATATTGCATTCAATGAGGTTTAATTGCAGTAAGTTAGTACAGAATGCATCCAGAAGAGTTCTGAAGCAGCTGACAGACAAAACAATGAAAACTATTCCATTTGGAATTTGCATGTTGGCTTGGAATTTGTTCCATTGACTTCTAGTTCCTGCGGTGGTGAATTTAACAGTTATATGTTCTCATAGCACAAAATAGTGTGTGTGCCACTTATATAGCACATGTAGCACTGGTTTATTGTTTCTGTGGTATTGCATAGTGTGTATCCTGGTTTCTTGCTTTAAAGTTCACACTAAAACCCAAACCAGACTCATCCCTGCATTGATATAGCAGTGCCAGCCATTAATGTCCTTTATAGCAACCCAGTTAATCTCCCCAAAACTTGCTTGAATGAAAAGGTCTTTGCCTATTAAAGCAGGACCAGAATGACAGACTAACAGGGTGGAAACACTGTGAAGAAGTCATCCTTTTTCCCTGTTGGAATGATCCATAATACCAAACCATATTGGGTAGTTCATTTCAAGGTAATTTGTGATCCCTATAGTGGGTCTGTTGCTCTAACTGCATATCCCGACCATGACAACTAAAAAAGTAAGTTGTTGCCAGGGCCAGAGCATCACATTACTGTTTCACACAAAAGGATCTTCTGATTAAAGAAAAACTAGGTTCCATCCTTTTGCTGCCAAACTAGGCAATGCGTAATTGTCTGTTGCCTCAAATATGGAGATGGCATTTCTTTCACCTTGATAAATATTGAAAAATAAGCAAACTTTCTCAGTCAAGCCACAGGATTCACAAACGTTTTTGAGAAAATTGGGGACATCGCTGCAAAAATGTCAAAATAGTGCATCAATACCTGACAACTTTACCTAATTGCCATCTGATAACATCAATTATCAGTTTCAGCCCCTTTGCTGTTATTACTGTCATTTTGTGAAAATGCCTCAAAGATTTGTTTTTCAAAACTTGTATTGCTTTGTGGATTTTGGTGTCTCCATTAATGATTATATTCATATATTATATAGATTATACTGCTGAGACATATATAAACACAAAATGCTTCAAAATTGGAAAATGAAGCAGTGGTAATAATGAGAGAAGAACTTCAAAAGTTTTAAAATAGTGGTTTTCTCTATCCCTTAGTAAAATTATTTTTTAAGATTAACAGTAAAATTCATTTTTTTCTCTCCAATAAAATAACTTGGTTTAGCAAGGTAGTTTGACATCTTGATGCATCTTGAATTTGTTTTCAGTGTAGTCAAGTTTTGGATGAAGTCTGTTCTTTGACTAACAAAACTATATTAAATGGTAATTTAATGTAACACGTTGCTCCATTGTGTATGATTTATTTATATGTGAAATCACTGTGTAGGTTAAGACTGGCAATAGGGGAACAGATTCCTTTAATTATATAATCATAGAATTGAAAGAGACCACAAGGTCCATCCAGTCCAACCTCCTGCTAGGCAGGAACACACAAAGAACTCCCCACAAATAGCTGGAAAACCTCCCAAGAAGGAGACATCACCACACTCCAAGAAATCAGATTTCACTTTCAAATAGCTCTTATAATTAGGACATTCTTTCTATTGTTTAGGTAAAATCTCTTTTCCAGTAGTTTGAATTGATTTCTCCATGTCCTATTCCCTTGAGCAGCAAAAAACATGTAGGCTCCATCTTCAATATGATATCTTTTCAGATATTTAAACATATCTATTGATACAGTTTATAATCACATTGACTTTTTAAAATAACACATCACAGTTTATTCATGTTCAGCTTGTGATCTACTGAGGCCCCATGTATATTTGCATATAATGTAGTTTAAACTATTATATGATCAGTGTAGACTAATATAATGTAGATAGAATTAGATTGAATTGGAGTATATCAGTCTACGCTGCCATATAATCCAGTTTAATGCAGTTAACCTGCATTCTGAAACTGCATTACAGGCAGTCCCCAAGTTACAAACATCTGACTTACAAATGACTCACAGTTAAGAATGGGGGTGAGACAACAGGAAGTGAGAGAAATCTACTCTTACAAAGGGAAATTTACTCCTGGAAGAGTTATCATGGGAAAAAGGTGTGTCCACCGAAGCTTTGTCAACAATCCTTGTTTCCACAACAAGTCAATTTTTTCAAAATCCAATTCTCTCAGGGTCAGAACTCTTCTGAACACAGACTGCAAAACAAACACCACGGGAGGTGTTAACCCTTCCCTATGTTATCCAAAGTGCATATACGTGTGTGTACACACACACACACACCTGGAGTTACACATTAGAAATGTACCTATTCTGACTTACATACAAATTCAACTAAAGAACAAACCTACAGAACCTATCTTGTTCGTAACTTGGAGACTGCCTGTATATAGCAATGTAGATGGGGCTTGAGACATCAACATTTTTTTTGCAAGTACTCAAAAAAGGTTTACCGGTTGCATCAGTTGTGAGCACTTGATGGGCATTAATGTTCATACTAGAAATGTTTCTCTTCATATGGTCAAACCATTAGAAAACAGTTCTATCTCTTTTTTTAAAAAATGGTAGTGGGTTTTTTTTTAGCATTTCAATGTAAACCATCTCCACAGCCACTGAACAAGATCTTCAGTGGCAGTGGTGAAAGACTGTGTGCCACCTGAAGGCTTTGCAGGCTCCCTACACATAGTAACAAGGTTGCAGTAAATTTTATTGCTGCCTAAAATTTAGAGTATAAATTGGGTCAAAACTGAAAATGACATCGAATAACAGCCCAGTACTGACCTGTAACACACACAATCAGTTTCGGACATGCCCCTTTGCACGGAAACCTTTTTGCAGCATGACCCTCCTTTTTTGTTTCTATTTGAGAATCAGCTTCCATTATAGCAGGAAATCCTGACCTTCTTTCCTGGTATGGTTTATCGCCAGGCTGTTTCCTTTGCAGCTGGCTACTTTGTGGGATGTAGTAAACTAACAAGCCATTCTTTTTCTCCTGGTAAGCCAGGAAAAATTTTCATTGTTTCTTTTCCAATCTCCTCCTTTTGGGGTGTGTGTGTATGAGAGGGGAGAATTTGCTAGGCATCTGGGTAAAGCATCATTTTAGCATGTTTCCTCCATCTCTTCCTGAACAGCTGTAGGAGACAAATTTATCCAATCTATTCGTATTCTAATTTATTGAATTTTAAGTTATGATAACATTTTATAATTCACACTTCAGACTGCTGCAAAAATTGTTGTAAAGATGAAATTGTCAACAGGTTAAGATTAACACAAAAAGATAATTTAGAAATGCAAAGAGAAGTGAAATAAAAATATCCTGTTTATAATGCTGGTGGATTTTTTTTGTGTCAGGAGTGATTGAGAAACTGCAAGTTGCTTCTGGTGTGAGAGAATTGGCTGTCTGCAAGGACATTGCCTAGGGGAGGCTTCTCTCATGTTCCCACATGAGAAGCTAGAGCTGACAGATGGGAATTCACCCCACTCCCCAGATTTGAACCACCAACGTTTTGGTCAGCAGTCATGCTGCCACAAGGGGTTAACCCATTGCACCACTGGGGGCTTCAAGTTGGTGGTTACTCTGACCACTTCTGCTCAGATATTGTTTTTTTCCTCATGTGTCTCTTTAGATGGAGCAAATGTGTATACACTCTCCCCCATTTAAAGAGACTGGCTATTATCAAGCCTAGTGAGAGTTCAATTTCTGATATATTTGAGATCAAGAAAAATTCATCTATTTTCCTCATTTCTGGTGGAATATTTTTCAGGACCTCAATGCTTGTGAGCAACTTTACTGCCACCCCACCTTTGCTGTTTTGAACAAGATCTCAATGAGTCATGCGGATGATACAGTGTTTGTTTATTAGAATATCTACCTGCTTTTCCTATTTCTCTTACTTTCATGCCTAAAATCAATGTAAAATTGCTAAACAGCCTTGGAAAATCAATTTTTAGGAGTCCCTGGCTCTTAAGGAATTACTTTAGTAACAAAGACTAGGAGGGAAGTTGAAATAATGCAAAAGGAGAGAGATGTACTAGTAAAGACTGAACTCACTGTGTTTTGGGCAGTGGGAGTCATGCATATACATGCAGATTCAGAAAATAAGCTGTTAACGCAGCTTCCAGAAAGAATGACTCATTTTCTTGTACTATTGTGGTCAGGATGGACAATTATGTGTACAAGAGATGACTGGATTGGGAGGTGAATCCTTGCTTAATACTGCCTATGAGAGAGAGTCCTCCACAGCAGTTGAAGGTTATACAGTAGTTTGTCTGAAGTGGTGCAAGGCAAACTCCTTGCTGCTGCCTCCTCCTGGTGTCTGCCACCTGAAGCAGATGCTTC